ACTGAAGATGTGCAGGTGTGTGTGTGTGTGTGTGTGTGTGTGTGTAATCTGTAGAGAGTTCTGGAGGCAGAGGAAAACGGAGACGGTCTCGGTGATGAAGATGACTTTGAACTGGATACTCCAAAGAGGAAGAACAGAAACAGAGGCAAAGTAAGTCAGCATGCATTTGTGTGAGCTGTAAAAGAGGGTTAGTTCATCAACAATTCATCAACTCAAGATCTATTCAAAGAAAAAAGGGCTCTTTCTACACTATTTGACTATATCTACAGCACCTTTCCAACATAAAAAACTGCTCCTCCAAATACAATAAAAACATATTTTGTGTTTTTAATGACGTTGAAATACAGTATACTCTTGGTAATTATCGTATGACGTATTTCCTTTCAGAACAGAGGATCCAGTCGCAGGAGGACAGAAGCCGCTAACCTTGAAGACCAGGACAAACCTTACGTCTGTGACAGTAAGAGAAAAGGAAACTAAATTCTTAACAACATTGGATGGTGCTTTACGTGTTAGTTTAGCCAAAATCAGAATCACATTGTCTCCTTAAGCTCATAGAAAGAAAAACATGTTCTAGGACTGAAGATAACTCCTTTAAGATGTTTTATATCAGGACACCTTTCTCTACATGCCTGCTTAAATTCGTAGCTTATATGTTCAGAAAACATCCTGCAGACAATTTATTTTCTCTCATCCTTCAATGATATCCCCCTCTCCTTGTGTCCTATAAGAGCTGTCCTCTGCAGCATGAAGAAAGAGTTTGCTGTTAATCCAGACCGTTGACTGAGCCTCGAACAAATGAATCTCATCCTCATTTTGTGTCTTGTTCTGTCTTTCCTTTATTGTTTGCTTTTGTCTTCTCTGTTCCAGATAGATACAAACAAAAGCATAACTCAAAAAAGGCTGAAGAAGGTATCTGAACCTGTCGCCATCTTGTCTTTCTAGGGGCTCCTGTCTTTTTATTTTGTTTTTGCTCATGGGCATCTGGTGTGGGAATGGCTAACTGAATGTGAATCCCTCTGAGATATCTAACGCTTTCAATGCTTCATGCTAGTCCTGAACTCAGTGCAAGCATTGCATGACATTAACGCTTTGCCTCGTGCCTTAATGCTTGCTCATTGCAAGGCATGCACAATTTGATGCTTTAAAAGGCAGCTCTACTAATGTCTAACTGAGGGATGCATGTTTTTAAGGCCGCACTAGCTGTGATTGTGATCTGCAGATGTAGCCATTGTGGAAGTGTTTACACTGGGGGTTTAACATGTTTCATAAAGTCAGTTTTCAACCCAAAGATTAGATGTAGATTTCGGGTACAGTAGGTAGAAATTGCTGCAGAATTGGGTGAAGCAAAAACAAGCAGCAGAAACAGTTTGAAAATTAACTTCTATGATGGCTACATCTCTACTGTGTTTATTACGTTTTAAAATGACCCCTAGAGCTACGAAAATATTAGACTGTAGATCCCTGTTTTCATATTAGTAGCACATCAAATGCTTCCAAAGTTTTACAACATGGCAACCGTAGAAAAAAACGTTTCCTGTAAAGCTCAAACCTTTTGTTAGTTTGCTCGCAATAAAATATATATTTTTTAGAATATACATCTATTGTTTCCTGTCCTCACATCCATTAGTCACTAGACCTCCTTTGGAATTACTTATCGATTTGTCCTTGGATTTTCATTTTAGTTAAATGGCTGATTTGATGTTAATGTTGTGTCCTGCCTTAATCTTGATTTATTTATTTATTATTTATCATATAAAAACATTATTTTGGCATTAAATATGTAGCGGGTGATTCCTCGCTCTCTGTCACTGCAGTAATAATATATTCTCTCAACAACTAATAGATACATCCCATTTTTATTCGCCTAAATCCTATGTAAACGAGAATGCAAACCATCTCACATGAATACCATTGCGTGAAAGTTATTTGTTACAGCATACTCCAAATACATCGTTGATGATATTTGATTTTTAGCAGACCCTTAATTCACTATAGTAGCTGCACTACAGTACGTTGCACAATATTTGTCGTGTTCCTAATGGACCTGCAATGTTTTATCTGTAGTCTGTGGAAAGCGCTACAAGAACCGGCCTGGCCTGAGCTACCACTACACCCACACTCACCTGGCAGAGGAGGAGGGCGAGGAGGAGAAGGAATCAGAGATGACCCCGTCTCCTCCATACTGCCCGGACAACCACAAACGTAAGCTGCTGACTCATTTGATATTACATTTATGATAAGCCAGGAGGCCTCAAGCTGTCAGAAAAGGAATGTCATCTCTTTCAACTTACCTGTGTCTGTTCCTGCCTGCAGCTCAGAAGGCTGCAGACGGCAGCATCATCCCCAACGACTACTGTGACTTCTGCCTGGGCGACCAGGACTCCAACAGGAAGACGGGCCAGGCCGAGGAGCTGGTGTCCTGCTCTGACTGTGGACGCTCCGGTGGGTCTCAACATCCTCAACACGAGGGTTTCCATCAAAGCTTCATGGACTTTGTTTACATTTAGACCAAAATTAGATATCCTGCCAATCAAATTGTTTGATTTTAAACAATGTCATAGGTGTGATTTCAATAGGACAGCAAGGAAAATACTGTAAATAATACAACAATGTTAATATTTTGGCATTTTCGGAGCAGCTAGCGTGTCCAAAGGTAACAAAGTCCGCCTAATAATTCTTCTACGTGTCACTTAATAACACGTCTTATCTTGTTTGTGTAGTCCTTACAAAACATGAATTGGGAAATTGTGTTTTTTAAGTACTGGACTATTTCCTGGAGGCTTGTTGTCTTTGTGAGGTTTTTGTATGGATTTATCTAACAAGATATAACTTGTTACATTAGTAAGCTTTAGGTGTGGTTGACAGCTACTTTTGGACAGAGATAGGCTAGCTGTTTCCCACTGCTTCCCATCTTTATGCTAAGCTAAGCTAACCATCTCCTGGCTGTAGCTTTACTGGACAGGTATGAGAATAGTTTTGATTTTATAATCTCACTCTCAGCAGGACAATGAATAATCCCATTTACCCAAATATCTCAGCATATGGGAAATAATTGAGATTTTCAGATATGAGTTGTTTGCTACTCTCATACTTTAATATGTGTCCACTACACACTTCATTTTTTCACTTTACTTCCTTTTATCCACAATCTTGTTCATGTCTGTTCTTCTCTTCCTACCAGTGTTTATTTTTGTTTCATTGGTTAAAATGGCACTGCCTAAAATGTTAAGATAAAGAATGACACAATTCATTTTTTTTTATATTTTTTGGAAACGACACCAATGAACTATACCTTATTAGAAAGCTGACATTAATGTTTACACATTCATTTTTAGTCAAACATTTTTAATTCATCTTTAACCAACGTGTGTCTTGACCTGATGTTGTAGATCTGATGTATCCATGCTTTTCAGTGAATTGAGCTTTTATGTTGTCTTTTCAACGGGTTGTCAATGAGCCGTGTAGACCATAAAAAGTGAGAGCCAGCTGCTAGGACTCTTTCCAAATTCCCTCCAGAAAAATATATTGATTCCTAGGCTCCTCTTCTTGCTTCCATCCTGCATGCCTCTCCATGTCTGCCTCGCCCATCATTAAGGAGTTCTGCCTTTTGACGACATGCATTCACCCCTTTGTTGCTCACGCATCACCTTACTGCACAATTGGCTGCATTTTTGTTTCTTTTTCTTCTTTTTCTCTCCTCCACGCTAGCCAAAGCCGCCTCTGCTGGATATCTCAGCAAAAACATTTCTCGAATCAGCTCACCCACAGTATAAGCGCATTAAATTCAACAAGATGTGAGCTATTTTATTGCTACCATAATCTTTTGTTAGGACAGCTGCAAGAGTGTGTGGCCTTGTCTGTGTTGCTCTGACGCTGATGTTTTCATGGTAGCTGGAAGAAGAGGAGGAGTGAAGAAGGATGGGAGGAAGAAACGTGCTCTAGAGTAAATGTTCGGCAGCGAGGCCTCCGTGTTTCATGGCGAGATAGAAGACATATTGTTTTCAGATGATGATGATCCTTTGACTGACAGCTAATGACACGACTTCCTTGCTACATGGACCAGTCCAACACATCAAGTTTTCATTGAGAGAAGACTGGACTACTCGCCTTGAAGATCTGAAGATTTATTTTGAACTTTTTGAAGACCTAGTACGTGTATTCCTTCCTTTCATGGAAATGTTGTCTAATGGATACATGCTCATAAGGATTTCACTGCTCACTTCCCATTTTTATAAAACCAACAATTATCCTCTTACACTTGAAATTACTTGCACAAAAATAATCAGACTAGACTAAACTTCACGGCTACATCCTAATGAAGTGGTCGTTAACGTGGCTATGGTGGGATGAACAACGACTCCTGAGTCACTCCCTATTGTAAAGAGAACAGGTAGTTAAGAGAGGTAAGAGCCAATCGGCACGGACAAGCTCTTTTCTTTTGGCGCTTCGTTGAATGGTTCTTTTCTTCTGCCTGCTGCTATCCATTTAATATGGTAGTCCATTTTTTAAACGGCCACAGCTAATTTCCCTCCGACACTAATTCCTCAGTTTATTTTGGGGAAGCAGACGGCAGCTTATACCGTTTCTTTAAATTTCACTCTATTCACCCATCACAGGCTGCACAATGTTTCTGGCTGCTTTCCCAGACCAGATAGAAACCAGTTCATCATCATGATTATGGCTCATTCATGGCTCATTGATACCCCATTGATACCACAGATACCAAGAGAGGCTTACAGCACTGTGAAAACGTGTGGATGCTATAAAAAAAACTGACATTAACTGTAATACTTCAGGATTAGGAATGTGAACAAGGAGAGAATTTGAAATATACCATGCATCCTTCTTTTTATGTTGTTACTGACGTGGATTTAGAAGAGGAGGATCAAATACATCTTGGCTGTGTTTTCCCCTCCACACATCACGGCTTGTGTTTTGTTTCCAGACATATAATCACCTGCCTTGTGTGGCTTTCTATTGCTACCTTTCATGCAGCTGCGCAGACTCTCAACACCGTATGGGGTGCAATTACAGACAATTAACACTTACTACTGGCTCTTATTAAAGCAAAGCAGTCTTCTTTATGAGGGATAACATGGTTTTTATGACTTTTCAACCACTTCAGCAAAAGTTGTTCACATTAGATGCTTGTATTTTTTATTTAAAGCATTTGGAAAGCATAACAACATTTAAAGAAAGTGTGTTTATCCTTTATTTTTCATGATGGATACTCCACAAAGGGCAATCAAATAGAGTTGCTGGTCAAGTGAATCATATGTTGGATATGGATGTATCTTCTCTTCTCGTCAACCCTTGCTTCCTTCTTTCTTCACTCTTCTCTCGTCCCTCCGCAGGTCACCCCACATGTCTGCAGTTCACCGACAACATGATGCAGGCGGTGAGGACGTACCAGTGGCAGTGCATAGAGTGCAAGTCCTGCAGCCTCTGCGGCACATCAGAGAACGATGTATGTAAACTGTCGAAGTCTTGTATATCCCTCTGTGGCTAGATTCCCCTCTGAATTTGCTTTGAAGAGCACCACATTTGACATGTTTTCCTTTTAGTGTTGTGACCTTTCTACAGCCTGTCAAAGCCAATCAGAAATTATAGATGATAGCTCACCCTTGATTTGGGTTTTACTTTTGTTTTATAAGAGTGAAAAATCTGATCATAAATTCATTCGATAGCCAAATTCAGTATGTTTATTTGAGTGCTGTAGCACAGTTTAGTATAATTCCAATTCAGAAAGATGTAAAAAAATAGTAAACATAAAAAGCAATAGTAATGTTAACACTAGAAAGGTATAACAATTGTGTTTTTCATGCACTGCTCAAAATACCTTTGGCTATTTTGCTTCCATAGCATGCCTTCTTTCAAATGTGTGAAAAAGAACTACCAGCAGCTCTAGAAAAAAATGTCTACAATGTTTCTGTTTGTGTAGATTTCTTCTAAATGTCTTAAGGGTTAGAAGTTTAATGGCGATATCTATTTGCTTATTAGTTAAATACTCAACATAGCAAGCATTGCAACACAGGTGTGTTTTATAAGGCTGCATGTTATTTACACATTTCTTTGACAGATATAGCAGTTTGGGCATAAATCGGAAGGCTAAGCCTCGATGGAGCTTAATTAATTGTCCCATGTTTTTTTGTAAGCTCACAGAACTACTTGCCTAACCTTAGATAGAGCTCATAAGTGCTAAAACATTATCCGTGTCACATATATAGAGGCATGATTTATTACTCCGACAAGAATAACCTTTACAAGCAGGTTCAATGTTTAATATTCTGCCCCCTGTAGTGCCTGGACATATGCTATAGGTAATATATATAGTTAAGTTGATGATATGTCTTCTTTTGCAGGACCAGCTGCTGTTCTGCGATGACTGTGACAGAGGATACCACATGTACTGCCTGAAGCCCCCAATGACCAAGCCTCCAGAAGGTGCGGCTCTCAGAGCTTTTATTATACATCAGCGTGTTGATACTATATATGTCATGTACTGTATATATGAAGGAGGCTACAAGCAAAGGCTATAAATGAAAAAAGAGCAAGTGGTACAAAGATTGACCCTCTTTCTTCTACCTCTCTTCACAGGGAGCTGGAGCTGTCACGTATGTCTGGACCTTTTAAAAGACAAGGCCTCCGCCTATGGAGAAGCATAACTTCCATGAACATTCTCTTCAAATCACACTTACACACACAATTTATATATATTTGTACCTATACATTAACTGTTTGACAAACCCACACTTTAGCAAACACTTCTCTCAGATATAATCAAAAAAACACACTCCAGTGCATTAGCCGGCTCAGAGCAGTTTCCTGTCTGAGGCGCGAAGACCTTTGACCTCTCATGTAGCCGAGCAACACTCAAAAAACGGCATCAACATGCAACCTCGACCATCAGCTAGCTGCAGGTTTGCCGTTATAGGTTATTTCTCTACCTCACCACTCAGCAGACGGCAAGAAGCCAAAGCAAGATTGATAACGGCCAATACTGTGCAGTACAAATACTCATTTTAAACCAACCTCGGATGTTTTCACTCCTGATTTAAATTGTATTCTGAAGATTTGTTGCAGGCTTTTCTGCTTCAAGCTGTTGTCACTTGCTTCCCTTTCTGCTCAAGCTCTACAGTGAGTTTGACTGATGTTTGTTTAACTTCTTCCTCCCAGCTCTACTCCTCTCCTGTGTTTAGACTTTGCCGTTTCATATCTGGACAGACTCAATATTAGCTATGCCATCTTTCACAGGTTTTTGTCAAGCTTTGTTAAATGTATGTCCTGCGCTGGGAGGAAACAGGGCGATAAAACAGCCTCTGCTATCATTCCTGTTGGAGCGTGGTGACATTTCTAATCCACGTCTGCTTATTGTATCCTCGCCGTTACTAGGGTACACTGGTGCTAAATTTGACACTTTACAAAAATTATAGCATTTCTTTGCATGGAATGTTATTATTTATTTTTCATTTTAATGGTCCAATGTTACTGTCAAATAGATCATTGTTACTGTAAATCAGTGGTTCCCAAGCCTTTCATGTAATCTCCCCCTTGTGGAAACCAGCATAAAAACATCGGTCCCTTAACTAAAACACATCAATTCATGTATTTTAAATCAACCGGTAACAATACCGGCAAAGTAACAAAAAGAGGAGCCTGAAATATATTAAAATATTATTCATATCAACACAAACTTCATATTTTCAGATGTTCCTATTATATACTGGTGTTCAAATATACATATAAATACAATTCCTTCCAAAAAGTCTTTACACTCTACAACTACTACTGTATTAACAGGGAATTTAAGATTTTTATATTTTGGATTTGACTGACAGAGCCTCACTAGGTATTCATTTCTTTCTGTCGAGTCTATTCATGTTTTAGGTACTGTACACGTTGTCACCTGCTCCATACACCTGGGTTGCTGAATCTTGAAAGCATCAGAGCACTGCTATTTTTTTTCCCCCCCAAATGAATCAATCTCATTCATATTTTTTTTTCTCCACAGCAGTTGGTTTAGAAAAGCACAGGACGAACTAATAGAGTGGTGAAGTCCCTCCCCTTCCGGTGGACCTCCATGGGACCTTATTTCGAAAAAAGTATGTATTGAAGTCAATGGAGAGAGAAAGATTATCTCTCGATCCCGTTTGAATTGTGCCACGAATTACACATATGATGTTTGTCGATTTAAAAGATAATTTTGCAAAAATGTGTCGTAAAACTGTGAAGTAACACATTTGTNAGGTCCTAGACTAAATGGAGAGAGAAAGATTATCTTTCGATCCCCTTTGAATTGTGCCACGAATTACACATATGATGTTTGTCGATTTAAAAGATAATTTTGCAAAAATGTGTCGTAAAACTGTGAAGTAACACATTTGTTTGTGTGAAACGCTCAATGAACTACATCTCCCGTCTCACACCACACACACACACACACAGTCAAGTTGGCACATTTCACTTCTTTCTTTCAGAATGAGGTGAAAAGTATTAAAAGAGGTGAAAATCACTCCAAGTCTGGGCATGTTGAGAGCTGTACATACACAAAAGGGGAGTTAGTCGGTGCCGTAAGATCCAGCATACGGGACCGGGATTCTGGGATTTGTAGTCTTTCTAGTTGCGTATTTTTCATAGTTTTATATTTCAACAGTTTTACGACAAACTGTGACTTTTTTTACATGGAAATTATTTTTTAAGATTGACAAACATCATATGTGTAATTCGTGGCACAATTCAAACGGGATCGAAAGATAATCTTTCTCTCTCCATTGACTTCAATAAATAGGAATAAGGTCCCATGAGGCGGAAGTAGATGGGCGTGACTTCGCCACTCTATAGCAATTTTTACAGCAAAACAATTGACTTTTCACTAAGCCCCGCCTCCCTGAGTAACTTTCTATTCTATTAGCATAATATTACTTCCGGTCTGTCAAGCTCCTTTCTAATCGCAAAACAATGAGCATTTGTTTTTCTGATTACAGGGTGTAGGACAATTTGAGTTTATCTTGGAACATATTAGCAGTTTAATATAGTCCTAAACATATGAGTAATGTATTTTTGTACATACTCAATATGGTCCTTACAGGTACCCAGTAACAGTTGCTTAACCGTGATGGGACAATTGCTTTTGGGGGGAGGAGTTTAGTGAACAGCCAATAAAACTGTTGCACCTTTGTTTGTCATTTCAAAATAATTTGCTGTGAAGAGAATTATTTACCTTTTGGTTTTCTATCTCTACATTAAATGTGTACCCCCTATAGTGCCCCTCCAGAGGGCCCCACCTCACAGTTTGGGAACCACTGCCTCAAATCAACCAGGGCTGTGTGTGTATTATCAAACCTTGATTCATGACTTGTGAACAGACAGTGTGGTGAATCATATACATGTCCTTAGGACAGAGTATTTACTAGTGAGCCCTGGAAGTTAAACAGGTTATATAAGAATTTATTAAAGTTTTTATGCAGTTACAGTACGACTGTAATGTAATTTTAGACATTTTGGATTAGTATTACCAAGTGATTAAGAGTTGATATGTTAAATTGGTCACGTATCTTCGATGCCACATCAATTTAATTTATGTTTTTTTTTACTGAACTAGTTTAAGTAGCACTAATCTAATAATCATTCAAAAAAAGAGGAACCACCAAGAATAAGCTCCAAATTAACAGATAAAGCCCTTAAAGTACACACAGTGTGCAGGCCTTCATATGATATCACAATCTGCATTTGTGTTTTTTTTTTATTGTGAGTTTTTGTATTTGATATTGCTTTTCCACAGACAATCATGGGCTAGAATAGATACAGTACATGATGTTAATAATATGCAGAGGGTTTTTATTGTGCTCCTCCATGGCGGTATAATGACCCTTTGTGTCTTCCTTTTAAAAATGTCTTAGATGTCATTTTTTGTGATGTCATCACCTACAGTGATTCAACATGTGTGTTGTATTTTGTTAAAGTAAATGTCATGTTTTGTGTTGAAATAAATACTTTTTCATTAACGCTGTTTATTTTAATGTTATCTATTGGATTCCACTTATCTTATATTCACAGAAATACTATTGTATATATATGTTTCTGTTCCCGTTCAATAATCAATTTCCAGGAAACTGAAATGTTGTGAATTCGAATTGAAAATAGGCTTTCAGTGTTTGTATGGCTCTGGACAAGAGGGCTGCATCTGATATGAATTGAATATAATCTATAGAACATCATTCTCCCCAAAAATATGGCCTCTCTGTTTGCCTTTTAGCACAATGTGTGGATGTTTTCTCCAGGAATACAAAATAACTTAATAATCGGTTACAAGCATGTGAATTTCATTTGCAGACATCAAACAGATTGTGTCAGCTTTTAGCAAAGAATTTTATATTATAATATTATAGGTGTTATTTCTAATATGTATGTCATCAAATAGTGGGAATTTTACATGGTTTTGTACTTTGCCCATTGACAATCCACGCTAGGTTAGAATTTACATCAAATTACCACAAGGAGGCGCCATTGGTAGAGAATAGAGCTCTTGATGGTCTCTCTCCAAATGATATCTCATATACGGAAGAGGATTAGGGCCACATGAGAAATAAATGTTGGGTTACATAAAGAAAACCTTTTTTTTTTGTTCTCATGTGGCCCTAATCCTCTTAATTTGATTAACACTGATTTTTAAATTGTAACAAATGAATTAATGTAATACAACTGTACACTAGTTTATTTATTATACCAATGCATCATCATTTAGAAAACTAGTTTCTTGGTTTTTTTGTGGAGTAAAAATAAAATGTTTCCTAATATCTTTGTCGAATACAATTATTTAGAACATAAAAATATTCTTTTTTTTTTTAGAGAGGTGTTGAAAATGTAATTTTTTACATGCCCCTACTGCCATAGCCCCACATACAGTATACATACTGTAGTTGTCCTGGTATAAAATAATATATTGATTGCCGTTGGATAATAGATCTTCTCTTTGCATATTCAAACCAGTGTTTTTCTGTACCACATATTATCATCATTGAATGTCTAATGACAATATTTAAAAGGAAGAGTATAGCATAATGGTAATATAGGTTTGTTGAGGCTTTATTGTGGAACACATATTCACAAGAACAAAAATATAACAAATCAAAACAGATTATTTAACTTTCAGAAGGAAAAAGTGATTATGACTTATTCATTCGAATTGATTTCTCTCTGTATCTCAGCAGCTCGTAGCCATTCCTGTGACGATTGAAAGGAAAGTGGTTGTAGCGAATGTGGGATCCAGTAAGAGCTGCCCGAGCATCTCTCTGCCTTTTTCTCTTGTGGTCACTGAACACATGGCACCGCGCCACATAGTCACCAGTCTCCCACCTGGTAGATTAGATGATCATGGTCATTCTTAGAAACTCATGCATGCAATAAAGAAGGCTACATTATAATGTAATATAATGTGTGTCCTACCCAGTAGAGTGTTGGCTCTGGACATCCAGGAGAAGATAGAAAGTGAATGGTTTTCCTCCGTACTCAAGTCGGCTATGTTAGGCGCTTGGTCATCCACCTAGTTGCATTTGACAAAAAACAGGAATTGGGTAAATTAAGAGGAATTTAAACTGTATATATATTTAAGGGTTGGCTGCCGTTGTAGTGACGTACCTTTAAAATACGACTTGGAAGAGGGGTTATGAACATTGCAGAGTTTGCCAAGTTGGATTGGAAATGTGCTGCAGAAATGTATTCGGCTGAGTTTAGCCAGTTCTTAGCAAATGACAACTCTACAGCGGAGAAGTGGCTCTGCCTGGAGTAGAGGAGACAACAGACAGCTTATTGGCTTTGTTGCCACAAGTTAAGACAAATTATACCACTCTCTAATAACTTTCTGACATGCTGTATGCCAAGCTAGATCAAGCTTAGCTTAGTGTAAACTTTAAGAACAGAGAGGAACAGCTGGACTGTTTTGAAAGTCACTCATTGTCCGTCATTTTATGTTGAATGTGATTGATTGAATTCTGTGTTTTTTTACATATCTTTCATGGATTAAACAAGACTAAAGCGTAAGAGTAATGATTGAGCTTTGGAGCTGCTGGTAGTTTTTTGTAGCTTTAAACAGGGCCCAGCTAGCTGCTTCCCCACTGCAGCCAGTCTTTAAGAAAGTCTTGAGAAAAGTGTGTGATATCCAAAAATGTCAAACTATTACCTGGCATTGCATGCAGCAGAGGCATGAGTTGAAGCCATTTGTGCTTCCCAGTAGAGGCCGAGGAGGGAGTCTTTCTTCTCATTTTCAGGGAGAGGGGAGTCAGCTGCAGCCTTGAGACCCTTTAAACACACACAGACAACATTAGGGAGATACTCCAATGGGTTGCTGAAGACAGGCTAGTATTAATCTAAATGAAACAGTGTTCACTAGTGCATTGCTTCATGAAGATGTTTATGTGGATTTGTTTGTATTTGTAACTCACGTACCTGGAAAAAGGCATCCCATTTACCCATGGCGTCAGGGTAGCGACTCAAACAATCAGCATATGTGGTGCAATAGTCCAGTACACCTTCGGGTACCTGCATCTGGACCTAATAGTATCAAAATAAGTTATCATTACAATCATATTCATCATGATCAAAATATCCCAACTATTAGCAGTTACTACTATTCAGGAAATCCATGAATGCTGCTTTTATTGTCTTCTTTTAGCCATGCTAGCCCTCTTAGGATTGCTCTGATGATACAGACTGAAAAATCTCAACAACTATCACTGGCATGTTTTAGGGTGAATTTACCTGAAGTCCGTCTCCCATGAAGCCCTGCTGTGCGGCAGACAGGAAGGGCAGTGCAGAGACAAAGTAGTTCACACCTGGATGAAAAAGAAGTGGCTTGGTTTATGTTTTCTATGTGTATGTAGCCTACTGTATGTATAGTAGGTCCGTGTTTGTCAAACTTACAGCTCCACCAGCTCTCAGTAGAAATGCACATAGTATCTCCTGTTTGCAGGCCGCAGGTTGAAGCCCCGGTTGGGTCAGCAAGACGCCCTGCAGATACAAATTGTACATAAGGCCATCAGTTTGTGTGTCGATGGTGGCAGCTGGTGGCAATCTGTTGTTATGTTTGCTTATTATAGGACTTTGTCTTAGGAATTACAATAGGTT